GAGGCCCCCACCGGCGCAGGCTGGGTGGTCCGTCCCCTCCGGCAGAGGCTGACTGCAGGGTTAGGCACGGGCACCTCCACGGACAGGCTGACCCACCCAACACAGCCCCCACGCACACAGGTGAACTGCCCCGGTACACGCACTGCCCCTACGTGCACCGCCATCTAACGCGGCCCCTACACATGCACCATCCTTGCACACACACACACGCTGCCCTTACACGCACCCTGCCATCCAACAGAGCCCCCGTGCCCACGCTGTCCCTGCGCGCACACGCTGCCCCTACGCACACCCTGCCATTCAACGCGGCCCCTATACACACAGCGACTCATCCACGCTGCCCCACTGCACCTCCTGCTCTTGTTCCCTCAGTGTACCCCAAACCGGTGTACCCCAAAGTGTGTGCCCTCTTCACCCCCTGCTCCCCGAACCGCAGTCGCATCCCTTTGTGTACAGACCCCAGAGCTCCCCTGCCCCAGCCCTCTCTCCTGCGCACTTGCTGTGCTGGCCCCAGTGCTGCGGGGGGACCGGGTGACCCTGACTCCTGGGAAGGGGGGACACTTGGCAGAGCCACAGGGATCAGCGCCGGGCACTGATGCAAGCACTGGCGTGCAGCAGCAGGAGCTCACAGCCGGGGAAGCAAGGCACGCAGGGCCACAGCGGCGCATGGTGAGCCCTGTGTGCCCCAAATGATGAAGGTAAGGAAGGCAAGAAGGGCAAGGAAGATGAGGATGGTGAGGAAGACGAGGAGGGTGAGGAGGGTGAGGGGGCCTGTGATGCTTCCAGTAGGTTCGAAAGCTGGCGCAGGCACGCAGGGGACAGTTCACACCCGTGTTTCCTCCATGGCCGACGGTTCTTATCGTTTGTGTTTGGGGGAGATTAGCTCGAGCTGGCACCATTTCAGAGCAGGGAGGGAGGGGAGGACGGGGGGGCTGATCTTCTGGGAAGTGGAGCCCAGGGAAACAGCGGCGGGGGGGGGTGTCTGCTGCCTGTGTGTGCATCAGGGGGGCAAACTGCAAAGGCAGAAGAGCCCTTCAAACCGGTGGCACAAGAATAAGTAGGTGGAAATGCACGTGAGGACACTGGGATGTAGACTGGGACGTGTCTGAGGATGGAGGAAAAGTGCTGTGGGTTCATGAATGCACTTGCAGGAGCAGAGGCCGGCATGGCCCAGGGACTCCCAGCCCTGTGTTCCTGTGCAGCCAGGGTCCCTGAACACCCAGTGCCCGGCTGCTGCCTGCACTCGGCCACTACAGGCACCGCTCTCCTGATGCACCGTCTCCCATCCCTCAAGAACGCTCAACTCCTCCCTCTGGCGTCACAGTGCAGAGCAAACCCAGGGCTAGTTTAGTATCTTATAACCCATCACCTGAGATCTAAAGACAATGATTTTTTTAATTCAGGCTCCAAAACCCTGAAACCGGTGGCCCTGTGCTGGACTGCAGCTCTGCCCACCCCACTCCCACCCTGCCCAGGTGCCAGGAGAAGAGCAGACACCCGGGGCAAGTGTGGGAGCACTTCCCTGGCAGTCGACGGGGATTTGTGGCTCAGGGGCTTGAGCTCAAGTACAGTGTTTGTGCTTAATGGTCTGTGGTGGGTTTTTTTCACTCCATGAACTTGTCTGATTACCTGTGGAGCTCATGGAGGCACTTAGCTCCCACAGCATCCCCAATAAAGTCCTAAATGACCGTCGTGATAGATGGAGCCAGGAGGGATTAATCCTACCCCCATGGAGCATCCTTCAAGGGGATGCAAGAACCACATTTGGCTTGGTGCATCCTTCCCCCTGCTCCCCAGAGGGATGCAAGCACGGCGAGGCGACAGGCTGAGCTCCGTTCCCCGGGTCCTGCTACCAGCATCGGCTGCATCCCAAGCTGGGGCGGGGTGGAAGCAGGCAGGGCCCGGGGGGGCACCCAGGGAGCCCACAGCCAGTGGTGCACCCCTGTACCATGGCTGGCCTCACCAGCAGCTCCCCTCCTCTCTCCGATGGGAGCACCACAACACCGCAGCCCACCCCGGCCCCCAGCCCCAGCACAGACGGACACAGTGCTGCAGCAAAGGTGTCTTTATTGATGGTACCCAGGCACGGGCGACGGCTCATCTATACTTCTCTGCCAGTACAGCGGCCACGGCCGACAGGAACTTGTCGAAGGCAGCGTGCACCTCGGGGGTGGAGTCGTTGCCCAGGTGCACAGCCAGCACCACCTGGAAGCACTGCGACAGCAGCTGCAAGGCAAAGTGGATCTCAGCACCGCCACTATGGTCCATGGCCCCCTGGCCCGGTCCCTGTCCCCCACTCCCTGCCCCCCGTCCCCCGTCCCCCGCCCGCC